GGACAGGCAGAATGGACCCCTGTCGGATTTTGGTGGAGTTTGGAAGTAGACTCCACAAGTAAATCGCTGTCCATATCCCACATGCCAATTCATGTGCTAAGTCCTGAAAAAATGCACTTCAAAACCCCGACAATGACGCCAACTTAATGGATGTAGGCGAGGCTGGTAGAGTTTTGAAGCGCATTTTCACGAACTTAGTGCACGAATTGGGGTTTGGGCTATGGTGTACTTGGGGGTCTACTTCCTAACTCCACCAAGATCCGACAGAGGTACACTCTGTTTGTCCACTGCCATCAATGAAGATATTTCTAGTTCGGATATGTAACGCATAAAAAATATTCCTCAGACCATGATATTCAGAAATTAGACTCGCGTTTCTCAACATTGCAAGTCAGCCGAAAGAGTAGATTATGAATCTAATTTGCGACTCACCCACCCTAGTCGGATTAGCTTTATGAGCAGCATTCGCCTGCTTCTTGAGCTTTTTCAAAAGCTCAATAACGCATTCATCCAGCGGTGTAGGAGAGAAGGAAAAATCAGCGTTATCCTTTTCTTTTTCAGTGTGTTTGCGCGCCTCTAAAACGATCTGAAATTTGTATAATTATTAGCTAAACTTATAATCATAAACCACCTTCTTAGTGGTGGTTGGCTTCTTTTCTCGCCTGATCCCCTTGTGCGTTGGACCTTGACTGGCAGCTTGAGCCTTCGGCTGAGGAAGGACTACTTGTCTATTGCTGACTTTCATCATTCCAATGGCCGAACGAAGTTCATTGTCCACCAGAAAGTTGCTTAATTCTACCTGAAAGATTTTGCTTTTTGCGGCAAGGGTGCAGCAAGACAAACCGTCTTCAGCATGGTCGATTTCTTCTTTTTCTTTCGCTGTAATTTCTCGGGAGGCTCTGCAGTCGTCCCGGGCTGATCGCAGTCCATTATGGCGCTTTCTTGGCTGGAAATGTTCGGGTCCAGAGAGGACTTCTGCATCTGAAAACGAAAATCTGAAAAATTAAGGGTAAGAAGGCTGTTCTGCTCCTTTGCAGCTAACACAACCTCGTATAGAGGACATCGCCCACAACTTCCAGCTCTTTAGCTATCAGGAATTTAGTTCGAAATGCTCATGTAGTAAAGGGAGCAAAAGCGAGCAAGAAAC